AGAGGAAGCAAAATCAGCAGCATCATTGAAAGAAAATGTAGTAGAAGCGCAGGACACTATAAAACAAGAGGATAAAGCTGACGAGGAAGGGTCTGATGAGAAGGAAAATATCAAGAAAGAGGCACAAGAAGAGGTTACTACAAGTGCTGTTAAAAATGAAAAATCTAGCAAGGAATCCAAGAAAGTAGGGAAGAAAGTGAGTTCGGGAGATGTAGAACAAAGCAAGGAGGAACAAGATGGCGACTCTGATGAGAATTCTGTGGATGATAATGAGGAGTTTAATGAAGACTCGGATTATGACCCTGAGTACGACCCTGATAGGTTGTGGTGTGTCTGTCGTAAACCCCACGGTAACAGGTAGGGATACGAGCATAGGGAAGAGAAATGTGACCTCACATTACCATGGTAGCAAAAAGTTTCTGGATCTCAACAAACTTGACAGAGATAGCCATTTGCATTGTCGAATGATGGAAGGAAAGTGTGAGCTGCTGTTTTGTTCTGAGGCCAATCATGCACTGGAAAGTCATACATGTCAATTTTCTTTTACATCTTTTTTGCCATATTTGCAGGACCACAGTTTGTTGAGATCCAGAAATTTTGCTACCACACCAATGTGATGTAGTGACTTCTCTCTGTACAGCTTTTCAAAAAGTCTCCAAAATGGAGTGTTACAGTTTACCTACATGTAGATATCCTCAAAACTATTTCAGTGTCACCTTAAATGTTAATCAGAGATTTCTCCCATTATATAATGTAAATTTGTTTTAAGTTATAATGGCAAAATTATGTCTGGTACCAGAGGGTACAAAAATCTCTTTTAATAGCTGAAAAACACCTAACATTACTTTTTTGCAAATTGTTTGAGATAATGAGAATGAATTGGTTTTTTTTTGTTTTTTTGCAATTTTTATATATTTTTTAACCTTTGCATAAGGAAACATTACTTGCTATAGGAAAATGAAATAGCAACCAGTCAACTTATCCCATTAATTAACGTACAGCTGTAAGTGTAAGTGCCTTTATGGAGGCAGTGTGGCTGAGCAGTTAGAGTGCTAGAATTGCAATCTGGAGGTCCTGCGTTCAACAAATCCACCCATAACCGCTAGCTGGATTTGTTCACAGTAGTAATGAGTTCAACTCTTTGGCCACAATATAAACTTCTCATTCTGTGGGCCACAATGTAAACTATTGGGTTACCAGTCTTATTGTGCAACTGCTAGAAAGTCCATTTTTTAATGGCTTTGTCTTTGTAGATTCATGATCTGTTGTGACCACTGTGAAGACTGGTTTCATGGCATGTGTGTTGGTATAACCATGGCTCAAGGGCGTCAAATGGAGAAGGATGGTCAAGAGTATGTGTGTCCTAAATGTCAAGGTGAGCTAGAGTTGTGGAGAGAGACATAAACACCTGTAAGGCTGGGGTACAGTTGGGGCTGGGGTAGGATAGTTCTGCTTAAAATGTTGCAATAGATTCATCTGTAGTCAGGCATTTGTACAGCCCTTGGAATCACAGTCGTGTACTGCCCAGCCTTTGGACAACCTGTGGATTTGTGTTGGTAATGAAAATTATTTGAAGTATAAAGTTCTGAGTTAAATTCCTCATTAAAAGCAAAGCCTACATTTAATAATATAGTCCGAACATTGTCTGTTAATTCAAGCCCTGAACCATAGTTATATTATTTTATTATATAGACATGAGTGTTTTACTGGAAAATATACCACTCATAAAATTCATAAAAACTACATCCGGGACCCGAGTGGTTAATTTTCCATAATCTCACCCGTGAGTTTATCGATGACGTAATTTTGGTAATTTCCCTCTATTATTTTATCGATGTCTTTTTGTCTATATAATAAAAAGAACATTACACGGCAGCTTGAAGATACGAATTTTATTTTCTTGCAGCAAAACAATATTTTACTCACTCGCTGTGCTCGTTTGTAAAATATTGTTTTGCCACTCGAAAATAAAATTCATATCTTTGCGCCACCGTGTAATATCCTCTATGTATATTAACTGTTATTTTACTGTCTGTTGCACCTCTAAACACTCCAGCTAAAGTAGAGGAAGAAATGAAAGAGAAGAACAAGGAAACCAAACCCAAAACAGAAAATGTTGCAAAAGAAAAGGAGGAAACTTACAAACACAGCGAGGCAAAGGAGGGAAGAAAATCTCCAACAAAACATGGCCATCACAAAAGAAAAGAGCACTCAGTGAAGATTAAGATTCCATTTGAGAAAGAGGAAGCAAGAAAACGACGGCATTCCAGTCACAGAAGAAGTCAAGATGATGAGGTACATGTACAAAATTAATGTGCGTCATCCAGGGGGAGGTACAAGGGAGGTACTACCCATAGTGGAATTTACAAGGATGCTTCACCTGAAAGGGGCACCCTTTTCAGGCTAGAGGTGTTCAAAAGGGAAGGGATTTCAAAAGTTGAGGCATAGAAAATAGTAAGGAAAATTGCCAGTTGGGTACTTCAAAGGGGATTCAAGATATTTAGAAGTCACTTGCGAAGGTGGAACAGTTGATACCTTTAGCCGTTTTAGTCCCACTAGTAACCAACATTGATTTGTCCCCCAACAATATCAATACATGATAAAAAGAAACATTTATGTGAATTTAATGATCACGTACACTTTTAAGGAAATTGCTTTGGTCTGTGAACAAACTCTCTGTACTGATTCTTTAAGGAAAAGTATTGAAATCTGTATACAGAATTTGTATGTGCTGCAGATATTGGGGCTTGAAGGGTTTGAAGGTTTAAGAGACTATTATTTTAAAGAAAGTCACTCAGTTATTAGCCAAAGTACTCTGACCCATTCATGTGGCTGGTTGAAAAGGGTCTTTCTTGAGTCAAAAGTGGTGTATAAAGTTATTTTTAGTGGCTAATAATGTTACTGCTCTACAGCTTTCTGGCAGCAAGAAGTCCAAAGAATCTGACCGAGAACATACAAGTGAAGAAAAGAAGAAAAAGCCACCTGAATCTAAAGGCTTTAGGATACCTAAAAAGGTTTGTTTGTGTGGTTACATGTATATCATTTATTTATTGTTATTATGAAATTGAAGGTAACAGGACTGAGTGGAATCCAGTTTGGTACACGTGCAATCATTAACAAAGCTGGCTCCGGTTGGTCAATGGTTGGATAGTGCTATCCACTGGTTAAAAATCTATCCAGTGGATAATGCAATTGGTTTCCCTCATACTTATCCCCTGGATAGTGATTTATCCGGTGGATAGTGCTATCCAGCGTTTGAACAATCGGGGCCGGGAGTCAATCAATCAATCAATCAATAATCTTGATTTATACACGATAAGTATTTAAAGCGACGCTTCGCTTGTGGGGTCGTGTCTAAATAATTAAATAAGATAACTAATGAATTAGAAAATAAATAGAATATACACCAGCTAAAATCATATAGCTATTTTTCTTAAAATTTAACAACTGTAGGGACACTTTTTGGAGTACAAATGGCTATAAAAGGGGGTAAAATATGATTGCAAGTACTATGCAAGTGTCTCCTTCAGTCTCTCTGGGTGAATTTCAAAATAATTTTATATTGTAATGCATCCCTCTACAGGTTGTAGAGGTGAATGTATAATTGTCACTTTGAGCGGGGCTCCCACAAAAATCTTGAATTCTAGCTTGTCCATTGTACAAGCAGCTCTCACAGTTTGCTTACTAAGGGCTATTGCTTGCTTGGACTGATTCGTCGTCGATTGGGCAAGTGAGCCTTGAAAGAGACTTGCTTGGCAAAGAAATCAACTTGTCCTAAATGACTAGACCAGATTTTTTTTAAACTCTGTTTGAAGTGCATTGTGATTTACTGTAATGGTAACATACTTTTTTAACTGCATGTTTTGTTTTGTGATGTAGGTGAGGACGACGCCCACTCCTGCTTCATACATTCATCATCCTACCCGAAAAATGTGTATAACAGCTGGATGCTCGATGTTTGCAGAACATCATTCACTCTATTGCAGTCCAGAATGTGTCCAGAAGTATGTTGGTTCATATTAATTTTAGTAGCACATGTACATTGTATGTATCTTCAAGCGTTATAATGGTTTGAAGCAAAGTTACTCTTAAGTGCGTTTGTGAACTCATAAAAAAGTCAACATGTATTTGCACTTTTGCCATTGTATGCAAAATAATTGTGTATTATTCAATAATTGAAGAAAAGTCGAGGCTTGGCACATGCAGCTTGCGTGGGCTGAGCCAGTACCTTACAGAATATTATGGTATCTTTTTGAAAGGCCTATCAGATGCACCTGATGCTTTTTTCTTGTACTCATTCAATGTTGTTTAGTAGGTCACTTTCGTTATATTAAAATTCAGCATGATAGCAAGTCTTAGAGGACACAAACAAAGAAAAGGAATAAACGTGATTAAACATGGTTTATTCATTTTCTTTGATTACAAGTGTCCTCAAAGACTTGCTATCATGTTGAATTGTAGTATGTCAAGAGGAGTTTGTCATCAACAGCCCGTGTGAACTCACTGGCAGAGTTTTCCTATTTTTTATTGGTGACATAGTGTCTACATAATCACTTCTTGTTTTCATAATTTTGCACTTATCTGAGTTGAAAGAAACTCCCTTTAGCCTAGTAGTCAGACTATTCAAAACAGCCACAAATTAGTGAAGGCAGGATTTCAATTTGACTTGCACCCAATCTTCTGGCGGCTCTACCACCAATGAAAACTACAGCAAACACCTGCTAAAATGAGCAGCTATTTAGGCTTGTTTGGTTGGTATTAATTATTTTTGTTAATTTAATATTGATAATCGTTTGCCTTCCTGCAAATCTAAGCTTAACTAGTACTTTGTTGATATGAACTGAATAAGTAACTTTCAGAGAATTCTTATGAAAGAAAAATTTTCCTTGTAGGCACGCTGAGGAATCACTTAAAATTATACTAGATGAGAAGAAGAAAAGAATAGGGTATAAACAGCCAGTTTCGTCTTCAAAGAATGTTGTGTCTCCAACTGTAAGTTTAACCCTAAAACACTGCATTCCTGATCTCTCATAAGTAGACACCTTTTGTAAGCTGATGCAGAAGTCCATCTCAGGGTCTGTGGAAGTTTGAATTACATTATGCCCCTCCCATTTCAGTAGACAATCAGAGATCTTTAGAATTGAGAATAAGGAAGACTGCCAGGGTGAGGTTAAACTTAAAGTTTTTTTGCTCGTTGTAAACAAAGTATACACCCTGGAAAGTACCATTGTATTTTTCCTTATCAGAAAAGTTAGCACGGTTATTTTTATTGAATCAGGTTAAGCCCTCTCCCAAATGCAAAGTGATAACACTTTTTACATTTAATAACTTGTTTCCACCACTATGACAGTCTTGTTAAAAATGATCGTAAAATAACAATGGTTATCTTGTTTTCCCCAAAAATGATGTGCATACTACATGTACTTACTATTGGGAAAATCTTGTCCTCGTAGTCATCCCTTTCTTACAATCTAAAAGTCTCTATTCCCTTTAAGATTTTGGGTGATCCCGCACCTATTTGATAGATTGTTTTTGATTAGCTGGGAAAACAATAGGGATTGTCACATAACAATGCTCCTATGCCTGAAAACAATGGAAGTTCAGATTTAAGGAAACCAGTGAAATAAGAGGTTTAGAACGGTACAGGTCTATTCAAGATTTTGGGGACTGAATATGCAGCTGTATCCAAAGAGTTGTTAACCATGATTGTTGTCTTGCAGTCAAGCCTTCTAGGACCTGTTCCATGGGATCACAACCCTGCACTAAACTTGCCACAGTCAGAATCTGCACCTAAAGAAGGAATAGCAGTAATTGAGCGATCTACTGGAAGGGTGATTGCAGGCGTGGCTGCACCCACTCAGGAAGAGCTTCTCTACTGGCTTCAGGATCATCCTACTTTTGAAGTGCTTCGACCAGCAGGTTTGTATAATTTCAGTGTTTAATATTCTCTTACAATGATTACACTTTCTAGCTGTTGGATTCCACCTCAAGACTCTTAAGTATGTTCCACCTTGTGAAGCATAATAAAGAGTAACACATAGAAATAAATTAATAATAATAATTAAAAAATGGCCAGATGCCAAAAATAAAAAACTTGAACCCTTGAGACCACAAATGTAGGGGTTTCAATAAAATTAAAGTAGCTTGCAGGTTTGAGTAAAGTAACTGACTGTATCAGCAAGGGGGTTTCTAGTCTTCTTCTTCTTGGTGGGTCTTGGGAGGAGTGCTCCCCTTATTTTGAAATCCCAAGCCCTAAAATGCGATTTCCAGCGTTCTGGGCACTAAATTGAGTACAGAAGATATTGTAATTCCCATCAGAATGGACACATAATGTGCAGTAAAATTCAATCTTTTCATAAATTTAAAATTGAAGCAGAAAGTATGTTTAAGTCTAGCAAATTGAATTTTAATTTGAGTTTTGACAGAATTTTCATTAATTTAATACTTCATTCCCCGCTTCCAATTTAGGGGAAAAAAAGTAGCTGACTTCTCTGAGCAGTGTAGCTGACGTGTTTTGTTGGCCGTCGGTGCTTATTGAACTCTGCAGATGAATAGTAAAATATTTCAGCTGGGCATCAGATAACTTTAGAAAGACAGTATGTTAGCTTGAAGGCTTGTGTATCTTACTGCAGTATTGATCTTAGATTATAGGCCGTCATTTTGTGTCGCAGTAGACCACTATTAAAAGGATAATTATTATGACCTACATGAATAGTTTTTGTTTAAAATATTTTTTTGTATTTTTTGATCCCGTTTTTGTTAGTACTTCATGTTTGTCTAAAGTCTGATGTAAATTTGCACTTAAGGCATCAATTTTATCTGAGAAAACGTATAAATGTTATTGTTAATTCAGCATAGGCAGCTCTAAAAACAACTAAGCCATTAGTCAAGTTAGTCAAAGGCCAAATTCTCTTGGATTATAACCTTGTTTCCTTAGTAAGTGAATGATATATAAACATTTTGTTAGCCTTCGCTTGTTTGTAATATTAGATGTGCATGTAAACCTGCAATCTCCTTGCAGGATGACTCCTAAGATAAATTAAATCATTATAACTAGGAGCATGTATTCCTAGCAGTTTCTTTTGTCGATATACATGTAACTAACTCTTTTTAGACTGTTTGCAATCCCCTACATTTTATTTTTCCATAAGATCATAAAGAATGAGCAATCCCCATCACTGGCAGCCATTAAATTTTATTGTAATAATGGTTTCAAATGAACCAATGGGGCTGGCATCAGAGCTTATAGCAGTGAGCATTTTTCTTTCCTTCTCCCAAACCATCCCCTGCCCCCCAAGTAGATCAGTCAAGATGGCTGCCTATAGAGCTCATTCCAGACAATGTTATGGAAAAATAATTTTCTCTTTGCCACTGTCCTCTACAGCATTAAACAGTGTGATGCAAATATACTGGTAATAGCGTTCAGATGAAAGTTCTCAGTTGACATCAAAACAGTTTAACTGTTATGTTGTTTTCTTTTTACCGGTTAGTGGACCTGCCTTTGGAACCAGAACTGGGCCAGCCATCAAGTCTTAGCCACTACTATCCTTGTGTTATTTCATTAGGCAAGAGAGGCACTCAGTGTCTTTTATATTATTTTCTGTTGCTATCCAAAACATCCAAGGGACATAAAAAAATAGTGGAGAAAGCAGACTCCCTCTTGACACCCTTTTACTGATTTAACCTTAATTCTCAATTCATTCTTTCATTCATTCATTCATTCTTTCTCAATAGTGACCATTGTCAATTTTCTCCTAACAATTTCCATTCATCATGTAGAGAAAAGGTTACGAGAATTTGCTTCCATAATGATCACCAAAGTGAAAATGTGACCTCTTTATCAAATCCTTCCAACTAATTTGTTCTATGTGGATATTAAGGCATGAAGGGTAAAGAATATCATCATGTTCCTCTTTTTTGTTTATTCCTTACACACAAACAGTTACTATTCATTACAGACATTTACAATAATCATTACAATTATCGGTTACTAAGTTCCTCATGTTTCTACTTGCCTTTGAGAAAGAGGAAAATACGTCACAAAATTATATCCATGAAGTGGTCTGCTAGTTTTTTCTGTACATGTGCATAATACAATTTATTTTGCCGGACAGTTTATCCATGGTTCCGATTTTATAGTCTACACACAGATTTTGTTTGTGCTTATCTAGGCAGGCAATGCCTAAAGAAAGAAAACATACAACAATGGCATGTAAAGTAAAGTAGTTGAGATTCTTCTGATTTAAGAAGTACTGTTAGAAGACTGTGTTAAATATCTTATTTAATGCAATACTGTGCAGTCAAATGTCGGTAGACAAAATGCTTGCCTAAACCATGAACCAACCTTAGGTTCATGTAATTTGTAAATGAGATTCCTGATTTCAGTATTTAATGTGGGTGTTGATTCTTCCAAATCAACATTGATGCGAAGTTCCATGGGGGAAAACTTGGTATAAACTTTACACAGTGCATCAAACAAAGGATTTCATAACCACTGTCTTATTGCACATATTAACACAGTTAAATTAGACTGTGGCTTTTGGTTGCTTTTGTCTTGGTTGTAGTTTTCGTCCCACCATGGTGATTTTGTGGCAAACAGAATTGGCTAAGACGAGGTTTTACTGGGTGCTAATACACTGATAGTTTCCAGCGGTTCTGTGTATTGACTAGAGATTAACAAACTAATAGTTTATATTACAGCTCCTTTAATATTGCACTTGTGAGATCTTGCAGTTTTGTCCTAAAGTAGTTGTTTGTTTGTTTGTTTTTTCCACAATGTGTTAAATTTGTCTTCCATGTTCAAGTAATGAACAAGTAGATATACATGTATACTCCTGGTAATGTAACTTCAAAATTAATATAATTTATTTTTATGGGGCCACTTTGCTGTAAACTACAAAGGGCTTGGATGTTTAAGATAGTGAGAGAATCTGTATGATTTTGCTATCTTTAGTTATTTTATTTTTACTTGTCAATTAGTCAGAGTGAATTTGTTTCAGGACCCACCCCCAAGAACCCTCCCCCCCCCGCCCCACTTAATATTAAATCTCTTGTCTTCAAAAGGACTGGCACTGTACACGTATTAGCAGCGACTCCTTGTACATGTAGTTACCGTTCTGCTTCTGTACAGGGCAGGTCTGGTTCATTAATTTCCACCAGACTAATAATTTATTAATTTTAGAAGATAAAGGAGTCAATCTGGTGACTACGAGTTCTTCCTGGAAATGTTTCTTTTCTTTGCTTCAACTAGTTTTTATGACCAAAATCTTGAAACAATCTGTGATGTTCCAAGTCGTCCCCAAGTTTTTGACGAAGAAACCATCTTAACCGTCTAAAAACTTGAGTGACCAACATGATCAAGAGTTCTTTCATCTTATACATGTAGTAACATGACAGTAACACTGCTTCATCAAAGATAAAGGTCATGAACAAGAGAGGAAAAAAATGATCAACAATTTAACGAGGAGTCTGACATTTTGCTGGACTATGTTTATAGCTGTTATTACAGTTCTTCATTTGCACAAACAATCTTTTGTTCTAAATTGTATCGTATACAAACAAAGTTAATGGGGTAATACAATGCAAAATAACCGTTTCCCACAGTTCCATGTCCAAACTGTTAAAAGCCACAGTACCAGCTACAAATATTGGTCAGCAATTTGTTTCAGCCCTTTCTGAAAATTTAGGAAGTAATATTATTGGACATAAGTTCTTGAAATTTTTTGTAATAACACGTTGTTAATTGCTTTAAATGTTAGGTGCCAAAGATGACAAGAAGAAAGAAAAGAAAGAAGATAGCGAGAAAAGTATAAGAGATAATATTAGGAAATCACTCAAGGACATCTTAACTCTGAGGTATTCAAGCTTCTCTGTAGTTCTTAGTTGGTGTTTCTCTATTAAGGGCATCATGATTAAAGTTTCCTGCCCTTTTTATATTTTCTGTGTTTAGCAGGATTTTTGAAAACGTTACTGCCAAATGGACCTCTTCTGTCAAATAGTATTTTTCGGCCAAAAACTATTTCCAAAGTAGTGACTGTAAAAACTATGAGTGCAACCAGTACTTCTTTCTCATTTCCTCCTTTCCTTTTCCTTCGTCAGTGTGATTTTTGAGCTTCTAGGGTGCAAAAAAATCTGCCTCTTGACTCTTTTTCTCTCAAATGACTGCCAGTTTCATTAGGTCCTTTTTCAAAAAATGGGCAAGATGTAGAGTACTAGAAATATAACCATGTCATCATTCTACAGATCTAAGGAGCAGCAAGATCTGACTG